GTGGGTGGCTGTGGGTTGTTCACTAGTGCAAGTGTAAGGACAAGAAGAGACACTGAATCCTAATGGCAGGCAAACACTGTAAACTGTCTGCAGACCATGCAGACTAGGCCTTGACATGTTCAAACCTTTGATTGGTACTTTGTATCCAAAAATATATATATATTTATATGTTATTTTCATATAAATACATATTCTATGTACAGTCGCTTATGACAATATTCAGTATTCCTTTACTTTTTGCATATTTTATAGTTTTGTACATTCACTGTTGTAGTGATAAAGTTGGCATTTTTGTACCAATAACCCAAAATGACAAAGTGAAACATGTTTTGGGAAATTTTTGCAAAATTTTAAACTCAAAAACTACAAATTCTCATTTGTAATAGTAGTAAAACCCCTAATTCAGCACTTTTTAGGATCCCAGTTACAACTTCCAGTCCTCTAGGGTAAGTCTCTACAAGATTTGCCTCGATTTGGACAGAGTACCTCATTCCTCCTGACAGATCCTGTCAAACGTTATTAAATTGGATGGGAATTATTTGTGACTTGCAATCTTCAAGTCCCCATTGATGTTCTGTGAGGTTTAGGTCTGGGTTTTGGCTATGCCACTAAAGAGACTGTCAGAGAGTCAGAGAGTTGGCTTGCAGACGGGATGAGTGGTGGATGTGGAGCTCAGCAAAAACAGGGTCAGTCAAAAATACAAAGAACAGAAGAAATCAAAAGCAGAGCAAAAAGCTCTAATTTAAGTACTGCATTGGTAGATTGAGCAATTTGGCAATTAATGAATGGACAGCTAAAGTTTAAATACTGAGCAGGTGAGAGGCTGATGCAAGTGTTGAGTAGAGGCCGCATACATACTCACACTAATACAAGCACAGGCAGGACGAGAGAGAGAACAGAGGAAACACAAGGAAACAGGTAAAACACCAGACTGTGGTACAATCAGGTTCCAAGCACATCTCAAGAATTGTTAAAGCTCATCCTTAGTTAATATCAAGTTTTTACCATGTTATCGTTTCCATTTGGTGTTTTGCTAAAAGTCACATCAAGACCAAAATAAGCAGTGGCTGTACATTTCTACTTTGAAACTGCAATTACTGATGACAAAACATCAAACAAAATACAGATTCAGACTTCCAGGGTTTGATAAGTAACAAACCTGAACAACCATGTCTTCTTTCAACTTTCAGTGTTGGGCTTTCTGTTTCATTCCTCTTCTTCAAAATCAGTTTAGTGGGTGTGAGTGTACTTGGTAATCTGTCTGTGTGGTTCTGTGATAGACTGACGACCTGTCCAGGATGTACCCTGCCTTCACCATAAGTCAGCTGGGATAGGGTCTAGCCTGCCTGCAACCCTCCCAGCACAAAGCAGTGTATAGAAACCTGATTGGTGGGTGAGTCAATTTGAACATATGTGGCTGAAAAAGCTGAAATCAGACCTACAGTAATAGAAACATCAGTTCCACACAGCTGTCAACATATGCTTGGAGGCCATTGCAAAGCAAACCAAATGCCAGTGGAATTGTTTGCAGGATATATTGGTGCACTATTAAATTATCCAAAGTTAATTTTATACACACAATAAAATATTAACCATCAGGTGATGTGAAACGTTTAATCCAAAAGACAAAAAGCAACAGAAAATGGCAAGAAAATGGTTCGTGGTTAAAGTAGTAGTTCAATTCAATCCCAACACTCAGCCAGACCTTCTTCTCCACCGCTGCCCATCGATCCCCATGTTTAACATTCTGTACCATCATGCCATCAGCATCGTCTCAGCTTACTTTTATATTCTCTTTTATTGTTCTCTTCAAGACAAACTAAGTAAAGCACATGTACAGACTTTAGAGATTCTTTGATTTCATACTTCAAGTATTGCTCAAGTAGGATAGTGCTGCGTTGTTAACATTTCCTGGACATATCAGTTTAAATAAAAGTTCTCTGGCTTCTCTGTTAGTCTCAATAATGGCGTCTTAAATTACCATTTGTTGACACTTGTTTCCGTGGAAGTCAGCCATCACTACTGTATAAAGACACCTTGTTAGTATGTCAGTATCGAGAACCCTTTCATCTGCGAACTGGATGTGTCCATTGACACGTATATTTGATACTTTGCCCCTGGGTCAGCGTGCAGATATAGAAACAAGACAAAATGGTGCAGAGCTGGTTAGCATACAGGAAGCTCTTCCCCCATTTAAGGACCTCGTTATGGATCGTGTTGGAAATAATGACCTGCAGACAGGAAGCAACTGGCCCTAACAATGGCTCCTCAGCTCTCTGATTTTACAGAGGATAACAAGCTTCAGACACAAAGCCTGAGTCACCTCACACTACATACTGTATGGTCTCATCAAAAACACTGTCAACTCCCATCTGTGTCCCCATCACTGATTCATTTATGGATTCATCAGATAGAAATGAGATTTAGACAATGATCACATTCTGGAGAAACTTTAGTGAATCATGGTGTTTGGTGGTTTTTGAACAATTTCGATGTGAAGTCTTGTTGACACCCCTGATATCAACATGAGCCACTAAAACTGTCCATCGCTGCGTTACAAACACAGGATTCAGAAAGTATTCAGGCCCAATTCCCTTTTAAAAACTTTATTGTGATGTAAATTTAATCTGTTTACACTCAATAAACCAGAATGACAAAGTGAAAACATGCTTTTGAATTATTTTTCAAATGTATCAAAAATCAAGTCTTTTGCACAGTCTCTCTTTGTAGGTTATTTATGGTGTTGCTCATGGTTACTTTTAAAAAAAATGAACAAAGCGAGTTTGTAAAAGAAGTTCAGTCAGTTGCAGAAAAGTTACAAAAGTAGTCAAATGCAGTGTCACTATTTCTGAAAATGATTAATCTGCGAAGCACATTAATATGTCCATGGCCAAAACAGACACTGTGACACATTGTGAGTGCCTGCGGGAGAAGCAACCT